ATCGTATACAGCAAAGCAAGGAGTGAGCTGGTACAGTACAAACCACCCGGCTTAGATACCACCACCATTATACACATGTTTCGATAGAAAATATTTGATCTTTTTTTACTTCTATTATAATTAAGCGTGTTTATCGTAAGTATAGTGTATTTTGTTTATCGATAACTGCTTATAGACCCAAAACAATACATGACACCGGGTATCTCAAATAGAACAGGAAACACATTGATTCTTGGAATCTTACAATTTTTACAATCATCAATACACCGTGCCATCTCCTCGCGAAACTACTGGCTGAGGCTTGATAATTATGTTTCCCACGGCAATAAAACTAACTCTGATAAATATCTTTGATAACTGTGGTTCTGAGAATTGAATTTATACAAACAGCCTACCGATCATACCTCTACTAAACCTGCATGCAGGTATGGACGGTGATGTGATACAACTTATCAAGATTCCGTCATTAATAATAATAAAGCGATTGAAGAAGGCTGGTCCCATCGACAAGTAGAAAATGAAACTATAAACAGTGGCAAAGGATGTACAAGTATATTGATGAATTCTTTGAGCGTTAAAATAATATCAACTCAGTAAAAAAAAAATTGTTACAATAACATATTAATGTACCAATTAAATATTTAATGCTACAGTATCTAAACACTTGAAACCTTGATGGAGAATCAAATTATTAGTCCAGTATGGCGGTAAAAAATATACCCTATCATTAACGATCCCGCTGAACATTTAGTGGCAAGCATAAGGGATAAAATCTAAAGTAGGCATATTCTGATAAAATATGTCAATCCAATTATACCATCAACAGGAATACCATTACATCAACTTAAAAAAAGTAGTCGTAAAATTACTTTTCATTGTTTTTTAGTTTAGAAATCCAACTCAAATTATTATAGTGAGAAAGTTTGGATGCATGGATGAATGGATGCATCTACTTGTCTTACTCAAATTATAACACAGTAAGACATATTTTGAGAACACTATCATGAATTTTTTACTCTTTTAGTTGTGTATGTATCATTTGTTCGTGGCATTTTTGCAATGGAAAAAAGTTTTATTACTCGCAGAAAAAAGACTCGTGCATATTCTAGCCAAACAAATAATTCCAAAATTTGTTTCTGTTGCAAGCAATTAAAATCCATTGGGTGTGATTAAAATCCAAAGGTGAACGACGATAGATTTTAATAATATCAATTAGACTCGCTCTGGACACAGCAGTTCGGCCTTGTAGAGGAAGAGCGGCGCGCATGGAAGGGGCGGTGCGGGGTGACAGCGATAACGCCATTGTACGGGACCGCGTCTCGTTGTCCCTCCGTCTAGTTGTACCTACGTCTACTTGTACCTCGAGGCCTAGGGACAACTAGTCGTAGGTACAACTAGACTTAGGTACAAGTAGACGTAGGTACAACTAGACGTGTATCCCACCGACAAGTAGTATCACCTAGCTTGCACGGATGCGACCAGTTGTCCCTACGACTAGTAGTCCCTACGACTAGTGGTCCCTCCGTCTAGTGGTCCCTACGTCTAGTTGTACCTACGACTAGTTGTACATACGCGTATTTTGCGTCCTTATAGTCTAGTTGTACCTATCCTTCAATTCAAAAAATAATATATCAATTTGAAATTTGTATGTTAACAAATAAGTGTAGCAGAGCAGGTTGAGTGAATGTAAGTTTGTGTAAAACAGAGAGGTTCGTTCGGCCCGTCCGCCTCGGTATCCCGCCAATTCGATTGACTTATGGCAGAGACTGTACCGTTGGAGCTTATGAAACTTGGAGGTTATGAACCGCTCTGTTTATTTGATATTTAAAAGTTGGAGTTTGTGAAATTTGGACATTGTGAATCGGTGATTATTTGAAAATTATAGTTTTGGAGTTTATGAAATTTGGAGGTTATGAAACGCACTGTTTATTTAATATTTTAGACGTTGGAGTTTGTGAAATTTGGACATTATGAACCTCACCCGTATCTAAATATAAAAATCCAAGCATTTATTTTTAATTGGTCAAATGTTGTAGGAAAGTTGACTTGGTTATTATTTGTTTTGACAATAAACGTAAAATGACTCCATCTCGTGCTCCGAACGATGGAAGGAAATAACGATGTGCTATTTTAAACGATGTAACGAGATGTCGATGTGAAAACTCGTAAACGTGTCCCAACTTGCAGACTTGTTGGTCATGTGTGATAAAATAACATGGCTAGTTTTTGTTGTTATACAGTAGTGTGATAAAATAACATGGCTAGTTTTTGTTGTTATACAGTACTGGGTGTATATAAACACTACTGATCTAACGCATGTTGTGTATTTGTTTAAATGAGGCATTCGTGAAATACTGCATAAATTATAAATTGGTATGGTATAAGACCAAATAAGTTTTTTTATATAGAGAAATGTAAGATAATAATGTTGAACATTATTTTGTGAACCCATCCTAATTACATAATACATTACATTACACATAACTTATAACAAACAACACACAAACACATATTTACATTATTGGCATAATTTATCAGGATTATGCCTACGTCCTCTTCTCCATCAACTACTTTAAACTTGCACTTGCATGACTTCCTTTCACTTAATCCTAACTCTTGTGACGTATGACGACTTAAATAGTATTCAAAACTTAGGAATTTACTTCTTACTTCTTGTAGATTTCAAAAAATAATGTAAGGAGCAAGGTTTCTATGATAGAAGTTGACTCTCAAATCTTGGTCTTTGGTAGATGACTGTGTCGTTAAATTGTCGAAAATACTCAACATACCGTCGCGTAATAATATGTAGACATTGTGAATGCCTACTCGTTATTTTGTGATACAATCCAACAGTTTAATTATAACTTGAAACTTTACCTGGTTTGCTGCAATAGATCCGAAACGTTGGTCACTAAATGATTACGGTCATCTCCCAATGAACAAAATTCGAGATATTATGAACGAAATTTTAAGTCATAATAACATTACTAACACGATCTTTGCTTTGATGCAGATATTCATTGAAGAAAGCAATAAATATGCATTCCAATAAAAGACTAAAATAAACGAATCGTCAATAGTGTAGCCTAAACCCCTGTCAATCACCTAAAAGTGACCATGTAACGCTAAAACTCAGCAACCGTGATTCTAAACGGTTTATAACTTTTCGGAGTTGAAGTTTCGTAAAAGTGAATAACTTCTGGAGGAAGTTTGGTGAATCAGTGTGTTATTTGGGATTTTTAGTGTGTCTAAGTCGGAGTCGTGGAATTTCAGAGCCGTGGGTTTTCGGAGTTGTGGGATTCGGAGTTGTGGGATTTTGGAGTTGTGAGCTTTCGGAGTTGTGGGTTTTCGGAGTTGTGAGCTTTCGGAGTTGTGGGTTTTCGGAGTTGTGACCTTTCGGAGTTGTGGGATTTTGGAGTTGTAAGCTTTCGGAGTTGTGGGTTTTCGGAGTTGTGACCATTCGGAGTTGTGACCTTTCGGAGTTGTGAAGTGTCGGGGCTGTGATGTTACGATGGATGTTCACTGGACGCAAGGAGGGTCGTCGCAGCAAGCCGCGCAGTCGGTCTCTAGATCCAAGCAGTCTTCAAGCGTCTTCTATACGAGCGTTTCAACAACAAGTATGTAAGCATTTTTGTATGAAAATGTAATACATGTAAAAACTTGTAGCTATTCTTCTGGGTATGAACTAGACACTTTTTAGGTGTAAAGGCTAGACAAGGCCTTCCTAATAAGGTGTTTTAGCTAGGAATGTGTTTATCATATTTAGCTACTAGTCTATTCTGGACACGAACTGGAGGAAAAAATATTATTCGGTCTCCTTAGCTAACCTCAAAGTTTTCAAGGAGCTGGATAAGGCTAGCTAGGATGAAAGTACTAGGATGAAGGTACTAAGATTAAGCTAGCTAGGACGAAGGTTAGGATGAAGCTAGCTGAAACCCAGACTATAGTTTGTCTGTGGCTGAAACTAGTACGTTGTACTAGGATATTTGAGTTGGCATTTTACTATGTTAACCATGCTAAGGCTACCAGTGTGTTTACAATATGCAAACTCCTGACTACAGACGATACTACCAGCTGTACTCTGATGTGTCTCTGGTATTCGGTTTTGTGCAGAAAAACAACATTCGTAAATTCGTTCTTTTCGTAATTGCGTTTTGCAAAGATTTCGAAGGTTATTTTTAGTTTTGTTAGTAAAATTTAACCCTAGGATTACTGTATTCTTTGTTTTCTTTACTAATAAAAATATTAGTACGATACATTTTTACTATATGTCTGTGTATGTCACAGGAATATTTAAAATACTTATCCCAGACCGCTGCCTACCATGTTATTTGTATAGTAAAGTAACCAATAGATTTCATTTTTTGGGTATATAATTTATAAATAATTGAAAATACTTTTATTTACGTGTAATACATCGCTTTGAAATGCCACAAAAAATACATAAATGGTGGTTGTAGCCAAAATACAAATTTAATTGAACCAATATGTCGTATACCGGTCGTGGACTCTAAATTAAGAGTATTTTTAAATTAATTAAATAATAATTGAAGTGAACGTTTTCTCAGTTTACAGGTTTGCTGCGTCGGCCATTGGTGTTTTACTGCGTTATATTAGTGCTAGTCAATCTTTGCAAATCATGTTATCATTGTACTTTTTCCTACAGTTACCTAACAATGTACATGTTCTCTCACTGATTTGAGAAAGCAAAGTGGCCAATTCGCTCATCAGTGAGACAATGTTAACATTGTCTCACTCTAATTACTTTGTCTCACTCTAATTACTTTGTCTCACTCTAATTACTTTGTCTCACTCCAGATTTGCAACGTGAAGGCACGTCTTTACCAATTTATTTGTTTTATGGTAACTGTAGTAAAAATATAATGTGCAACTCGAGTGCAAAGTGTTGCACAAATAACTATTGCCTCAAACTATACATTTTTTGACAATTTTTACTTTCATATTTGTATGGCAAATTAATTTTTTATTTTATTTTTCAGAGAGCGGCTGCACTTCACCAACAACAGCAGAGACAAAGTGAGTACCTTTCAATATACTTGTTTAATTATAACATTTTTAAACTATTCACTCGTGATGGAAAGTATTCACTGTGTTTTCGTAATGTCTTGTGACTCTTTGTACATTATATAAAATTTCATAGGCCTCAGTTAATTAATTTGTTGCCATTTAAAATATAGGTTTTAAGCGCCCTTTGAGGTATTTTACGTTGGAAGAACTGTGCTAACCAAAGACGATTTATTTCTGTACTTTAATTATACGTAGGGATTTAAAGCTCTTGACCTGAATTTCCCGAAGTGTTCTTGAAAGATATTAATATTGTTCCTTCGGAGAAACTAATGATGAATGTTCGTGGAGAATTGTGAATATACTATTTTATTCTATGTTTGTACAGTATTTGGTATTTAATTACAATTAGAACCCTAAATTGAGCATACATTTTTTTATTGGTGTATTAAAATCAAGGACCTTTTGTCAAATTTACAAATAAGTACGAAAATTAATGGCACTACTCAGAATTAACTGATCTACGTAAAACCACTTGTAAACAACTAAACTCTGTCCGTATCTTTTTATCTATCCTGTATAGATGCAGTACCTACAATATAAGACGCCTTCATAACATACTGCGGCAACATGCAGTGCAGTACTGTGTGTCAAAGAAATGTAGCTCTAAACGAAGGCGTTAATAGAAATTCATTTTCCTCGCGCTCACTGTACACATTATATTATTATCTCTGAACTGAACGTAAAAATTAATAATTTTCTGACCAATAATTCAAAATTCCACAATATCAACAGCTACAAATAAAAACGCAACCCATTTTATTTTTGTGTATGACGCGTCATTTGATTGCTTTTTATCGACGAATTTGCAGTCAAGTACGATGATACCATTGTACTGTACTGCATTTGTTTAAGGTTTCTTGACGCCCAAACATAGTTTCAATAGTTAGGTTATGTTTAAAGAAATATTTAGTTGACTATGTCGACAATTCAGCCCGATCTTACAAATTGCAAGAGTGTATAATACGAGGTTAAACTTTTAAAATCTGTTTTTGTTTACGTTCCAAATAGAAAAATAACACCTTTTTACCATGTAAAGTGATTCGAAAATGTATATAATGTATAATTCCTGTATTGTGCAATTTAACTAATAGACTTTTTAATTTGACGGTTTAGTGAATTCTGAAGTTAATTTTCTCTCTACAATCAAGGACATAGGCAACCTTGACAATATTGATTGTTATTGTTCTTAAATCTGGGTCCACGAATTATCTGATATAGTATATATATATATATATTCTTTTCCTAGTTCGTTTGGCTCTGCTACCCGACCGATTTTCATGATTATAGGCTTTGAATTGAGCTATTGATCGTTTGAATAATTTAAGTTTAAGATACTGTACTACTCAATGAAAAATCATAATTATGATTATTTCTCGGATATTGTATCTATTTTAATGCTGCGGAGCAGCATGGGTCCTCTAGTTTGTTTGAATTTTTCTCGTCATAGAGGACCGAAGTCCCTTTGATAATAATGATATTTATATCATGTGAATATATACGTAAAATTTTCTTTTTACATCTTATCCATTAGGAAAAATCAATAAATTACATGGAATTTCATTTAGATTGCGGATTTTCTGTAGTGGTGATGATTTTTGTGGAAGACATGCTCTATACTTTAATGTACAAACTCTCTGTTAGGTCAGCAATTAGGCCATCATGAAATGTCAAGAGAAGGTCAGTATAATGTCGCTTGTAAGTGGCTTTGGATAGCCGGGAATGAGATACAGCGTAAACGAACTTGCTCCTGCACTGAATCAGTTTGATATTATCACTGTACCAAGTGATAATACCCTCCCGGCCGTAGCAAACCTGCAGACTAAGCGAATTTCATTTGCCTAATTGGATTTACACTAAAATGCTGTAAAAACTAATGCTATTTAAATAGGGAATACATCCCCCCCCCCAATTTAAATAGTATTAGTTTATCGAGTACTCTAGGTTTGCTGCAACAGGGAGGGTAAAAGGTTTTTTTTTAAATGTTAATAGTTTAGTATGAAATAAATGCATTTTCCAAATGTGATCAAAATATACTCATAAACAAGCGAACAACGACAGTTTACTTATTCTTCAAGAATAACGTGGGAATTTTAAATTTCCTTTTTTTTAATTTCCCCGTAACCATTAAGCACATAAAAACGCTTCGATATACTAAATTATTTTATTTTTTAAGCTCTACAAGATGGTTTGGAAAGAAATTGCAAAATTTTATGTTTTTAGTGTCAAAAATGAAAGAAACAAATTTTTACCCCATAAACACCCGTTCCCATGGTCCGATCATGCTGGTTCGCGAACTGGTTTGAATAAATGTAGGTTTACACGTTTATACAAAATTTCATCAAAATCGGATCATTTTTGCTCGAGTTATCGTGCTAATGGACACACACACACATATGAATCTAAGCTGATGGTGTTTTTCTCCTCTAGGGACCTCAAAACGAAAAAGTAAATCGGTCCGGGGGCCAGGTCTCACCAGGAGTACTATAATGGTAATAGCGTATTCCCTATATGGGGAATTCGCTAAAATAGATAATCCTTGTCGTCTAATAAACATTTTAATCTCCTTGGACAAACTTAGATATATTCTGAAGACATGTGAAAAAATGTCTTGTATTATAGTAGATCGCAAAATAATATTTAATGTGTTACTATAGTAATTAAAGAAATACAACTCCATTAGAACATGTTTGAGCTTATTCATCATCTTCCATCACCAATTTAGATTCACATTAGTCTAATTGCTCAGTGTTTCGTCAAAGTGGATGTTAATTGTTACAAAATATAAGTTCTCGATTAGTTTGTAGCGTATTACATACTGTCTCTTGCAACTTTATCAGGTAGTTATAACTCCGAGATTGCAATTTGTATTCACAAAGGAACACACTGATTTACACAAATGTGTTGCATATGACGAGATAATGTTCACTTTTTCGTTACATATAAATTGCAAATTATTCTAACTATAGGATCTGTACAATTTACATACACACCTTGGGTTATTTGTTTAGTAATCGTTCTCTTTATTGTTTGTTACGTATCTACCAAGTCTTTGAGATTTAATCCTCTTCATCCTCGAGATTGTGAATATACGCCTAATGCATTTGAAATTTACACAAAAAAATTGAAAACAATTTTTGCCAAATTTTAATACTGAAAACATGTCAGGTGGTACAGTTGGTAGAAGATGAATCATGATGAGTCATAATTAATGTTTGCATTTTTATCGTAGTGTCAGTATGTGTATTTGTGGTTGGAATCATTAAAATAATAGAAATTTTAAATCTGTAGAATTGCGCGTGTAGGCGTTCTTTAAAATTAGAATATTTATCTTGTACTGTATGAAAAACAGATGTTGTATATCATAGGTGAAGTATTTAAGACTTAGAATAAAAATACATACAACTGTAGACAACTATATTTTACTTTCAATAGAACCCACAATAAGGATTAAAATTTTCGACAGAGTTTTTTAATTATTTAAATCTTATTTATTTTTTATTTATAGCGAATTGGTTATATTCTAGATCAGATTTCACTACGAAATGGATTGAATTCAAATAATTTTACAGGCTATATTTTACTATGCATTTTAGTCAGCTATTACTGGACGGACACGGCAGATGGCTGTAAATTGCTTCAATAACTGGCCTATAAAACTATTCAGCACCGCCACGTGTACACTATTGGTGATATTAACGCTTTCAAAGGCCCGCTTTATATTTTATAGCGTATTATCACTTAAATTAGCCATTAAAAATCGCAGCTTTTATTTCTATGGGATATAAAAAAAACAAATCAATTTAGTAACTGTATGGAATCAAAATTCGATACAGAATTCTACACGCGGTACAGTCGGGTACAGTGCATTGTGTTTAATCTAAGGGAGTATGATAAATATTTCTTATTTTACTGTCTAAATTGCTTTTGTTTTCCCACACAATCCGAGATTGAGTTTGAACAATAAGTGACATTTGTACGCATTGTATCAGACCAACAGCTGTTGCGAGCAAGGTCACAGCTGATTGTGTCAAGTGGCTAACAGCTGTTGTCGTCTGTCATCAGACAACCACTTACCGCTTCCCGCCATTTCCACGCCTTCGCCCTCACGGCACACGCTTTCCCGTTTGAAAGATGGCGAAAACCACCAATAACGATAACAAACCTGAATAGTTTGAAAAATATTCTTTGTAGCTTGTTAAATGTTGGTGCTTCCATCGATATCATAATTGATCATTTACAGCAATTGATAAATATATTTTTCTACGGACTCCGTGTGAAATAATGAATTAGGCATTTGTAATAGGCACACAACCCTTTCAACAAATTTGGCCACTTTTCAGCAAACTGGTGATTCAAACACACTATTCTTCATAAAATATGTATACCGTATCCCTTCCAAAGATGAATTACAACTCTCCAATATGTTTCACAACCAGCTGTTTCCTATGTACACTTGGCAGCAGAAGCAGTCGCCATATTTCTACCATGTTGTGATCTCGATACCAAGGGATTTATAAGCCGCTGTTGTCGTGTGTTGCCTCGCAAGACGTATGTCGACCTTTCACAGCAGTATGTGATACGCGGCAACCGGTGTGTGGTCGAACCGGTGAATATCGATATATTAAGATCGTGAATACATGTAGTCGTTGACAATGTAATTTCAGTTGTGAACAAAATATGATTTTATTGTTGTGTAAATTTTGCAGATATTAATTTGAAAATAACGTTTTTCGCTAATTAAAATGTCCCAAGGAATTAAAAAAATATTTTGATAGGATGAAAGTGGGTATTTTGCTGTGTGAAACTGACCTAACTTATGTGTGAACCTTTTCAAATCCAATTAAATATTGTTAGGTTCACTGGAATTTTTGGGAAAAGCTTGTATAGTAAATGGCTAGTTTTTATACAAAACAGATAAGGGGATATGATATTGATACGAGGTGTGAACA